TGTGTGGTGTGTGTGTGTGGTGTGTGTGAGGTGTGTGGGGGGGTGTGTGGGAGGGTGTGGAGTGTGTGGGTGTGTGTGTGGTGTGTGTGGTGTGTGTGTGTGTGTGTGTGTGTGGGGTGTGGGGGGTGAGTGTGTGAGTGTGTGTGGGGTATGTGTGTGGGGTGTGTGTGTGGGGAGGGTATGTGTGTGTGGTGTGTGTGTGGTGTGTGTGTGTGTGAGGTGTGTGAGGTGTGTATGAGTGTGGGGTGTGTGTGTGTGTGTGGTGTGTGTGTGGTGTGTGTGGTATGTGTGTGGGGGTGTGTGTGTGGTGTGTGTGGGGTGTGAGTTTGTGGGGTGTGAGTGTGTGGGGGTGTGAGGTGTGTGAGTGAGTGTGTGTGGGGTGTGTGTGTGAGGTGTGTGTGGTGTGTGTGTGGTGTGGGGGTGTGTGAGTATGTAGGGTGTGTGTGTGGGGTGTGTGTGTGGTGTGTGTGTGGAGAGTATGTGTGGAGTGTGTGTGTGGTGTGTGTGTGGGTGTGAGTGTGGGGGTGTGTGAGTGTGGGGGGGTGAGTGTGTGAGGTGTGTGTGGGGTGTGTGTGTGAGTGTGTGTGGGGTGTGGGTGTGTGTGAGTGTGGGGTGTGTGTGTGTGTGTGGGTATGTGTGTGAGGGGTGTGTATGTATGTGTGTGAGGTGTGTGTGTGGTATGTGTGTATGAGTGTGTGTGTGTAGATTTAGGCTGGAGGAACTGAGTACCTGGATGTTAGTCACAGGACAGATGAAAGGATTGTCAAAATGGACGGGGTCGGTCCTTGTAGGCCATATTGAACTTGCCTATATTTTCACTGCTGGAATTCCATTACTGTTTTGGAGACAACATAGCTGAGTGCACGGTTCCAGAACCGAAATGTCGAGAGCCCGGGTAGTGGGTGTAAATGGGTCTGAGACGGTTAGAGGTAGGTAGACAAGAGGGAGGGGGGAGGGCAGCAGTTCAATCAGAAATGAGGCTCCTGAATAGTCACTTCCGTAATTGGTAATGCTGTCTGCTCTGTAAGAACACTATGAAAACGCTAAGCTAAAACATAGAGCCTGTCACACAGTAGGTCTTCCTGTGTTATTCACTTTGGGGGACTTCCCTCATGATGGGGTCAATTCTCTTGACTCTAGTTCTTTTAGCTCTGCATACAGCAACTGTTCCCAAGTTGCAGTTGAATGTGACTATCAAACACATAATAGATGAGAAAAATTTGGCGAGTCCCAAGTCATCTTAAGGAGCCTGTCTGAGGGCTAACGGATATTGTCTCAAGTGGCAGGACTTTAGGCTGAATAGTCCATGTAGTCTGTTTCTTGTTTAGATCTAGACATTCTTGCCAAGTACCAGAAAACCATCCTGGGAAACCTGCAGGGCCTCCCGAGACCAAACCCACCATTTAGGCAATGTTGCACACAGGGAAAGCTGCCCTAAACCATGACTATGGTCAGGACATTCATGCCATTAACCCAGTGTCCTACTGCAGGGGCACCCGAAGAGTCTGACAATTCTAACTCAGGTTCCAACTAAACGCCAAATTCTTCCTGTGTCCTACAGTTCACACACATTATGAGGCATCTAGTCCTTTCTTCTGACTATATTAATACATGTCTACTAAGCCTTTGCCCTCAGAAGGAAATGATACAGTATTTTTTTCAGTTATGAGGCTTGAATTCAAGGCCTTCTCGCTGTCCCTGAGCTTTTTGCTCAAGGGTAGCACTCTACCACTTTGAGCCACAGAACAACTTCTGGTTTTCTGATGGTTAATTGGAGATGAATCTCATGGACTTTCCTGCCTGGGCTAGTTTTGAACAGCAATTCTCAGATCTCAGCATCCTGAGTAGCTAGGGTTACAGGTATGAATCATCAGTGCCCAGCTCAGTATCCACTTTTTTTTGTTGTTATCATTTTGCCTGTCTGGGGCTTGAACTTGGGGCCTGGGCACTGTCCCTGAGCTTCTTTTGCTCAAGGCTAGCCCTACCACTTGAGCCACTGTGCCACTTCTGGCTTTTTCTATATGTGGTACTGAGGAATTGAACCTAGGGCTTCATGCATGGTAGGCAAGCACTCTACCACTAAGCCACATTCCCAGCCTCGATATCTACTTTTTAACTATCTATATTCAGAAACCAGTGTTGTTTTTTTTTTCATGTCAGTCACTGGCACGCTCCATGCTGTGTTTAGTCTTCTAGCAACTTATCCTTAATGTGTTCTCCTGTTCTATTTCTGTCATCTTCTTGGTCCAGATTTTCTAATTTTAAAAATTACTTTTCCTTTTATAACCCTAAATCCTCTCTGGAACAAGATAGAAAATAGAAATTTAAATGTTATTATGAAAGGACATGGTATTTAGTGAAGCTCACTGAAGGATCTCATCAGAAATAACTTATGTTCCAGGGCTGGGTACCGTAAGCTCAATCTCAGCTATGTGGGAAGTGGAGATGGGAGGGTCAGGTTTTGAGACCAGCCTCCCCTGCACCCCCCCACCCAAAATAGTAAGACCCTGTATCAAAAAAACTAATTGAGGGCTGGGAAGGTGGCTCAGTGGTAGAGCGCTTGCCTTGCAATGCATGAGGCCCTGGGTTCCATTCCTCAGCACCACATAAGCAGAAAAAGCTGGAAGTGGTACTATGGCTCAAGTGGTAGAGTGCTAGCCTTGAGCTGAGGAGCTGAGGGACAGTGCCCCAGCCCAGAGTTCAGGTCCCATGACCAACAAAAACAAAAAACAAAACTAATTGAGTATGGTGGTTCATACCTGTAATCTCTGATATGTGGTAGGCAGAAGTAACATGACTATGGCCAAACCCTAGTACCACCAATGGGGAAAAACGAGTCACTGACATACCATTTTCTCATTATCTTTATTCACAAATCAGTACAATATGATGGTAAATCTGTTACATGTGTGATAAAATAGATTATGGAAAGCAACACTTATGACAACACAATTATAGGTGCTCTCAGATATGTAGCCTCTTGTAATAGCTTTCTGGACCCAATTCTGCCCTCTGAATGGGCCAATTTTATGACTCTCCTAGAAGTTTTGAGTTGGGCAGTTTTTTGTTTTTTTTTTTGGTTCTTCTAAGATCCAAAGCTTACTTGCAAATCCCTAGACATCAGCCACTGGAACCAGACCTCCTAGGCCTGAGGAGAGATCTAGTGCCCCGTGCTTGGTGCTCTGGGGTAGGGGTGGGGTCAATCTGGAACCATGCATGTTCCTGCACCTTCCTCTGGTCCATCTCTCATGCACACACTGCTGGAGTTAGCAGGAGAGGGGCCACACAGAGAGGAGGAAAGCATCCGCCCAACACGAACAGTTCTAAGTTTTCAACATGGATGAATCCCTAGCATGGAGATTTACAAATTGGCCATCCAGCTAACCATAAACAGGAATGTGCATATAACGTGGTCAAGGAGCACTGAGCTCACCCAACCACAGGGATCTTATTTATCTCTAATTTTAAAATAATTTTTTCTCTTGCTGGGTATGCAAGTGAGCAGAGGGGAAAGTGGTGCATCTGCTATACCTGAAAAAAAAAAAAGAAAAAAGAAAAGATCACTAGGTAGACACAGCAGTTTAAAAATGGCTGAGGAGAGGGCTGGGAAGGTGGCTCAGTGCTTGCCCTGCATGCATGAGGCCCTGGGTTCGATTCCTCAGCACCACATAAGCAGAAAATGTCAGAAGTGGTGCTATGGCTCGAGTGGTAGAGCACTAGCCTTGAGCTGAAGAGGTGAGGGACAGTGCTCAGGCCCAGAATTTAGGCCCCATGACCGGCAAACAAAACAAAAACCCAAACAAACAAAAATGGCTGAGGAGAGAAATAGACCACAGTCCCTGCCCCATCCAGGGTAGAAGCAAAGCAGTTAAAAAGAGGGTAGGGAGGCATGGTGTGGTGGGAAGGCCTGGCAGGGTGGCATAGCAGGGGGACAAGGTGGGATGGCAGACTGGAGAGCTGGGAAAGCACAGGGCAGCCACTCAGCCGGAGGATGGAATGCCCAGGTCCCATAGGCTCACCACTCACCAGCTGGTGCTAAGGATTTCAGTGCTTCTAAAAGATGTGGGCTAGAGAACTTGACCAGACACCGGAGGGGCTCCTCCCGCTCAGCCAAGATGCCCCTGTTTATGTCACTCTTGAACTTCGTTTCAAGCTGTCAACAAATGGAAAGAACTATTAAGTAGAGCAGCTGGAATGGTAAAAGCTAATGGACAGATCATATACTTTTATTCATGCTTGCCTTCAAGAACTATAGCAGAGAACATTTAATTTCCTAACTACCTGCCAACACAGAAGACATCAGATGCACTCTGCACACACAGCCAGCACAGAGAGGCCATGCACACAGGAGGGGCTCCAAGTAACTTCAGTTCTGAGCTCGCTTTGCTTTTTTTTTTTCTTGGTGATGTTTGAGACTGATCTCGGGGCTTTATTCTTGCTAGTGCTCTACTACTTGGGCCACACCTCCAGTCCTTTAGCTTATAGTCTGTGTTTCAGATACTCCCTTTTGCTTCAGACTGTGATCTTCCTAACTTTGGCTCCTGAATAGCTGGGACTGCAGGCATGGTTCATGATTCCCAGCCCTGGTGTTTGAACTTAGGGCCTTGGGCACTATCTCTGAGATTTCCTCCCTTCCTCCCAAGGCTAGCACTCTATCATTTAAGCCACAGCTCCAATTTCAGCTTTTTGATAGTTAACTGAAGAGTCTCATGGACTTTGCTGCCGGGACTGTCTTCAAACAGTGATCCTCAGCCTACTGAGTAGCTAGGATTGTAGGTGTAAGCCTGTAAACTTAACACCAAGCTAAGTTTGCTTTCTTAATGGAAAATTAGTACTAGTTTTTATAATCTGTTAACTTCAATATGAAAATGCTATATCCCTTGAGTCACCTGCTTTATTTTGTTGTTGTTGTTGGTCATGGGGCTTGAACTCAGGGCCTGGGCACTGTCCCTGGGCTTTTCTGCTCAAAGCCAGTGCTCTACCACTTTGAGCCATAGCTCTACTTCCAGTTTTCTGGTGGTTCACTAGAGATAAGAGTCTCACAGACTTTCCTGCCTGGGCTGGCTTTGAACTGTGATCCTCAGAGCTCAGTGAATTGCTAGGATGACAGGCCTGAGTCTCCAGGGCCTGGCATTTTAAAAATTCACTTCTTTGGGAAGAATTAAAACATATACAGAAGCTGGGTGTGATGGTCTATGTCTGTAATCCCAAGCACCTTCAGCTTTCCTCAGCTCACACATACAGATCGTAGCCAGCTAATATATAAATGAATTAATATGTAAGACAAAAAGGCAGATCCACAATTTCAGAAGGTCTCCTTGGCTAACAGGGGAACTTCAAATATAACAAAAAGTCCATTTAATTTTCATGTTTATACATAAATAGTAGCAAGGCTTATACATACATACATAAAAAGTAGCAGGGCTGGAAATGTGACTCAGTGGTAGAGTGCTTGCCTAGCATACATGAGGCCCTGGGTTTGATTCCTCAGTACCACATAAACAGAAAAAGCCAGAAGTGGTGCTGGGGCTCAAGTGGTAGCGTTCTAGCCTTGAGCAAAAGAAGCTCAGGGACAGTGCCCAGGCCCTGAGTTCACAAGCTCCAGGACTGGTGGAAAAAAAAAAAAAAGGCAAATAGAACAGGGATGTAAGGTTCTCTCATCTTTTCAAACTATTCTGGTAACTTGTGGGCAATGTTTACTGCTGTGTCCTACCTTATATTGTGCAAATTCGAGTTGTGGTTGAGGATAGTCTCCAAAAGTTTCTTCAGTTATTCTTTGGATTCTCTCCTTTTCTACTGTGTTTTCGTGAATGAGCCTGGGATCCACTGAGGGTGGAAGATTGCAGATGGAAACAGACATTAGGGACACACTTCATCCTTACAGCATCTTTACATCTCCAACCTGCCCAATTACTTGTTCCACTTGAAAATGTTTCCTTTTTTGTTGTTGTTGTTGGTCATGGGGCTTGAACTCTGGGCCTAAGTGCTGTCCTTCAGCTCTTCAACTCAAGACTAGTACTCTACCACAGTGCCACTTCCAGTTTTCTGAATGGTTTATTGAAGATAAGAGTCTCACCGCCTTTCCTGTCCTGGCTGGCTTTGAACCGTGACCCACAGATCTCAGCCTCCTGAGTAGCTAGGATTACAGGTGTAAGCCCTCAGTGCCTGGTCTGTTCCTTCTTTTAACTATATTAATTTTTTTTTTTTGTCGGTCGTGGGGCTTGAACTCTGGGCCTGGGCACTGTCCCTCAGCTCTTCAGCTCAAGGCGAGCGCTCTACCACTTGAGCTACAGCGCCACTTCCGCTTTTCTGGTGGTTTATTGGAGATAGGAGTCTCACGGTCTCTCCTGCCCGGGGTGGCTTTGAACCGCGATCCTCAGATCTCAGCCTCCTGAGTAGCTAGGATTACAGGCGTGAGCCACCAGCGCCCGGCTTAACTATAATAATTTATTTTGTAGAAAGTTGGAAAGAACAAGGAGATAAAAATAATAAAAATTACCCACAATTCTACCATCCAGAGATAAGTACTACAAACATTGTACTATGTTACTAAATAGCTCTTTTACAGTTAATAAGAACAAAGAAGCCTGTATGTGTACTCTAACACAATTTTGTATCCTAAGACATCCAATCAACAGTGCTTCCTTTTCTGCTTGAAAATGCTAAAATGGTTAGTTTTTACCAGCTGGACCACTTCTATAGCTATATTAATATAAGTGAGTTTTCCAGGGAGAGGCTCCTGGCAAGAGAGGGGAGCAATGCAGTCACCATTCTGACTGTTCTAGAACTGGTTATGCTCAGGCTCGGGTTTCATGTGGGCTTTGCCACTTCCTTCCTCGCTGTATGACTGTCTATACAGTTTCCAAGCTTTCTTGAACCTCAGTTTCTCAATGAATATAGCCTCTCCATGGGCCTGAGGAAATAGGCCCAGGTGCACGTGTGCGTGCGTGCGTGTGCGCGCACCCCGAACCAACCCCCTCCCCCTATAATGGTACTGGTGCAGAAGAAATGCTTAGCAACCATTGGCTGTTCTGTGCCATCACATGTTAGTCTAGCAGATTCTAAAGGAGACCCACTCCTGGCTTGGCCTTCCTCTTTCCATTTGTCTGAAAACAGTAAAGAGTTCTGAATCAGAGCCCTTATATGTGTGTGTATGTGGTTTTCTGAGTAACAAAATCTGAATAGGAATAATGCACTTGTAAACAGCAATTTGTTGGTTTTTTGTTGTTATTGAGATAGGGGCAAGAGGTACAGCCTGCACGGCCCTCAAGCCTGCAATTCTCCTGCACAGCCTCCTAAAGTGCTAACGTTACAGCACTGCTATGCTTGGCCGCATTTCAGTTTATCTTAAAAATACATACCATTTCTATTTTGTCCAAGGTTTCTTTCTTGTAGAGGTTTTGTAGAGTTGTGATTTTCAAATACCTGATGGGGTACAGGGAGAGAAAAAGAAAAAAAAAGTAAATATTTTACTAATACAGATATTAACTAATTTTGGTATATAAAAGTATGCTAAATCTTTACTTTTTCCAACAAAGAGACTGCAGTGGCCTGCAATGTGGCTGTTTTGACTGAGAAAGTCTGTATGTTACAATAAAAAAAAATGGACCCAGACATCTACGTATTATATGCAAAAGCTACAGGAATGGAAGACAGTATTTGTTGCATGTGATGTTTTAGCTTTACAACTATAAACTGAACTTCACAACCTAGATTTGTAAGTCAGAGTTCCTTTTTGCAAAGTCGGAGCTTCCCTTTTCCCACAGTTTCTTATCATTCATTGGTGACAATGTAAATTTCCACCCTTAAATTGAGAGACTTGCAGGGAGCCATAACATCTTTCTATTCAGAAAACACACATGTGTAAAGCATCTCTGATAGTCTACACATGAATAGATGTTTGCCATATCTAGGATAAGACCTTCCTGCATCTAAGGACAGAGCGGTCTGTCACTAAAAGGGGAAAAACACATTCAAATCCTACAAACAACTGCAGACCTTAATAAATCCATACCTTCCCCTTTAGTTTAAACCTGTGACACTTGCTTGTCACAGCAAAAAATTTAATTGACAGTATCAAGTTACTCAGAAGAAAAAGAAAATTCCAATTGGATTAGCTGCTTTGTAAACTGGGATCTGAGATATAGGCTACAATCACAAATGGGCTGTATAAAGTATAGCACAATTATAAAAAGAGGAAAGGGAGACATCTTTTTTTTTTTTTTTGGTGCCAGTCCTGGGGCTTGAACTCAGGGTCTAGCCACTGTGCCTGAGCTTCTTTGGTTCAAGGCTAACACTCTACCACTTGAGTCACAGTGCCACTTCTGGCTTTTTTTGTTTATGCGGTGCTGAGGAATCGCACCCAGGCTTTATGTAAGCAAGGCATGCGCTCTACCACTGAGCCACCTTCTCAGCCCTCGTTTTGTTTTCTTTCATGTGAGCTGACCAAAAGCCTGCTAACTGCGCTGATATCTCAAGCGATGACGTGTTGGCAAGGACCTGTCCCTGCTCAGTGGCCTTCATTCCTATACACAGGAGGAAAGAGTTGCTGGTTGGCTCACCTGGTTATACTGTTTAAAAACAATGGCCTTGAGTGAGTCCAGGTGTCGGCTTCTCAGGTCCATTTTCATTATCTGGTGGTGGTTGCTAGCAATTTTCAGTGCCTTGAAATGGAAATGATGGAAGCAATTAGGGTTACTATCACCACATGTGTAACTGCAATCAGTCGAGTTTCCATGGAAGAGTGAAAGAAGTCCTGAAAAATGTAATGCCTTTAACCTGTCACTCAGCTGAACAAGCAAAAAAGGTGCTCAGTGGTGCTAAGGTTCTCACACATGGCCACTGGTTTTGGAAAAGTGGTGCAGTTTAAGTCAAGGGTTATAAGGACTTAGGAATAGCAATAAATATGCACAAGTTATCATTTTTCAATTTCAGACTAGGATCTCCTCATAGCAATTATGTTCCAGTGTTCTAACTTGCTTCCCGGATGATAGGGAGTCCTTGGGAATTGTTCTTACTGCACATTTTTGGTTTGATTTGGGGAAAGATGCGAGGAAGCCGGAACACCAAAGGCAGAAACATGACAAGAAGTAGATTCTGGACAGAGGCCACATCTTCTGTTAACTCAGTTACTGTGTATGGTATATGCAACCTGCTATGAAGGTAATAATAGCCGTTAGTAGGCAGATTGTACAGGCAAAAGAAAGCACTGCATAGAAGTGTGGTTTAAAAAAAGCAAATTATAGAACCACCCTTAATCATCTTTTGAAAGAAAATTGCAACAAAGTTATTTTGAGTGAATGGGAGAGGGACATGGTGTAGGTCTTTATCTTCAGAGACTTTTGTACTGCTTGCATTTCTTCAAAACATTCACACCTACTCATTCTCCATTAAAAAAAAAAAGGAATAGCTCTAAACTACCATCTTGTGTCACATTTCCATGGGTAGTTCCTTATTCAGGAGATAAAGAATTAAATGTGGTGCTGTCCATCAAATGCTTGAGCACTTTAAACCCAACTGACTTCTGAAGTAAGGATGGTAAGATACTGTAGTTTGGAGTTACTTTGTGCAGTACCTGACCCAGAAGGGGTACAGTGCTCTTCAGGGTGGAGAGAGATGCGAAGGCATATGGAGTCTGGGGATAATACACCACGTAAGTTGGCTTGTACTGGTTAGGCTTTGAACACTGTGTTCCCCAGGCAACTCGAATCCAGACTGCATTCTCCTCTGCATTTCTGAAGCTGACTGTCACCTGATGAAGACAAGTTTCAGAGTCGACTGTCATTCTCTGCAGCACTGTGGAGACATGCTCTCATGATATATATAGCCCAGGCTGGCCTGGAACTTGCAATCCTCTCTCCTCAGTCCCCTGAGTGCTGGGATTACAGGCATGTACCACCATGCTCAGCCTGCACCCCTTTTATTTATTTAATTGTAGGTCGTAGGGCTTGAACTCTGGGCCTGGGCGCTATCCCTGAGCTTTTCAGCTCAAGGTTAGTACTCTACCACTTGAGCCACAGCACCACTTCCAACCTTTTCTGTGGTACTAAAGAATTGAGCCTGGGGCTAGGCAAGCACGATGCTACTAGGCTGCATTCCCAGCCCCTGCACCTTTTAAAAGAGAGCAATCTGGGGCTGGGAAGGTGGCTCAGTGGTAGAGTGCTTGCCTTGCATACCTGAGGCCCTGGGTTCGATTCCTCAGCACCACATAAGCAAAAAGAAAAAAAGCCGGAAGTGGCGCTGTGGCTCAAGTGGTAGAGCGCAAGTCTTGAGCTGAAGAGCTGAGGGACAGCGCCCAGGCCCAGAGTTCAGGCCCCAAGACCGGACCCCCCCCCCCAAAAAAAAATAAAATAAAAAAATAAAAGAGAGCAATCTTACCATTAAAAAATTTTGGTTTTGTTATGGCCCTTGAACTCAGGACCAAAGAATGTCCCTGAGCTCTTTTGCTCAAGGCTAGCACTCTACCACTTTGAGCCACAGCTCTACTTCTGGCTTTTTGGGTTAGGTTAATTGGAGATAAGAGTGTCTCGCAGACTTTTTTACTCAGGCTGGCTTTGAACTGTGATCTTCAGATCTCAGCCTCCTGATTAGCTAGGATGGCAGGTGTGAGTCACGGGCACCTGGCTCTTACTGCAATTTTGTACGTAAAGACCTACAGATTTTTCTCTTCTACTTTTTTTTTGGGGTCCGGTCATGGGGCCTGAACTCTGGGCCTGGGCGCTGTCCCTCAGCTCTTCAGCCCAGGCTGGCTTTGAACCATGATCCTCAGATCTGAGCCTCCTGAGTAGCTAGGATTATAGGCATGAGGCACCACACTTGGCTTGCCAAGAGTTTTGAAGACAGATTTCTTAAAAACCTACAATCAGGGAATAACATAAACATTTTCTAGAAATTTTGTGAACATGTCTTGAATAGTGTTCCTTTCCCAGTAGGAGTCAGTAACCTTTATAATGGGACAGCTGTTTATAAATGAAGCTTCTTTAGCATCTAGCACAGATCTAGTATGCGCTATGAAAGTTAACAGTATGATGGGCCTAAAAATGTGCTAATCATAATGCTCTGACTCAGTTCTAGATCAGCAGCAAAAAATTCCTTCAAGGAGTAGCATGTAACAAGAATACAGGAAGTTCTACCTGGCCCCCATCTCGTGGATAAATGCAGGCCTTTCTCAATTTAGAAACAGGATGGTCAACTGCTCTAGAATTTAAAAGTCTTAGTCATCTTCTCCCCCAAGTCAGGTTTCCTTTGGGCTCTGAGCCCTGAAAAGGAGGACCCTGAAACAGGTCCATCTGGGTTGCCAGGTCTCCCTTCCCCATCTCAGATCTCACTCTGGGAAAAGCGGTGCCTGGTCTGGGGAGTGAGCAGACTCTGCCCACTGTGTATGTGGCTGCTTCTCCAAATCCTTTGTGCAGCAAAGCACTCTTCCCCAGCCCTGGCCCCTGCAGGGCCTCAGTGCTTCCTATTGGCTGGAACTGAAGAGAGCGCCTTGCACTGGATGACTTGCTTGGCTTCCCACTGCCAGAAAAGGTGTGTGTGTGTGTATACTCGAGCACACTGGTCAATACTACAGACACCAGCCATGCATGGATTATTTGATGGAATTCATTAAGGTTAAATAAGATGAAGAAGTCAGCTGCTCAGTCCCTAACCACATCTTGAGTGCTCAGCAGCAAATGTGACCACTCACTTACTGCCCTTGACAGTTGGCCGCGGGACACCTCTGTCACTACTGTGACACTGAGAAATGAGCACCAGACTCTAAGTGACAGGTGAGAGAGAGGGAAGTTCTCACAACTTAAGAGCTCTGCTATGGAAGAGAATAGTACGGAACGTGGCTGGCTGAATTTCTTACAGATAATGAAGAAGAGTCGGCAGCGTATTTTAAGTGCACAGATCAAAGCATGTAGTATGCACTGAACCTTGTGCTTACATTTCTTAATGCTCTCTGAAGAGTTTTCTTAAATGAACTTTTGAATTGTTCCATATCGAAAAGGTTAACATCATCATCTGTGAAAGTGAAAAGAAAAACAAAGAAAAATTAAGGGAGCTAAGAGTCTTCAATGTTTATCTGCAAATCCAGAACTGAGAATCTTGTATAACCCCAAAGTGGTGATAACATGTGGTGTGAATGTTTCCCACACTTCCAACATGGCATCCCCAAATGCAAATGAGCAATAGGCACCCCATTTTGAAAGGTATTTAAAGAGAATGCATTGCTATTAATTTCCAAATTGCTAAAATATCAAATATAAATGTTAAATTTAAAATGAAAACACTAGCCAGGAGCCAGTGTCTCATGCCTGTAATCCTAGCTATTTAGAGGCTGAGATCTGAGGATCACAGTTCAAGGCCATCAGCCAGAAAAGTCTCTGGGAGATTCTTATCTCCAATCAACCACTTAAAAGCCAGATGTGGAGCTGTGGCTCAATGTGGTAGAGCACTGGCCTTGAGCAAAAGGAGCTCAGGGACAGTGTCTAGGCCCTGAGTTCAAGCCCCACAACTGACAAAAAAAAATAAATACATAAACCCAATAAATAAAATGGAAAGTATTACCTGGTTCTTCACTCATCTGAAAAACATCCCAAACTTTGTGGTTCCGGTGAGCTTGAGTATCTGAGAGAGGAAGGGCTCATTGCTTTAGTATTATATTGTATTTATGTTTAAAATATGTATTTTAAACAATACAATAGTAAATCAGGTGATAGATTCTTATCAAAAACATATACTTTATATCCATTAAATTTACAATTTGCACAGGTGTCCTCTTTGCCCCGTTCCTTGCACAACTCATTCGTCACCTCTGTTGGCTGTGCTCGGGCTGCCCGCTCAGTGGGCCACCCCACCGCTGCCCCACATTGTCCCGCACTCATCACCAGATCAGGTCCTTAGGGATTCCCGTGTACTGTCTGCTCCCTGGGAATAAAGGACTTGTATACCGCTCCAATCCCAGGTCTACTCCTGCCTGCAGAAATTGCAGTCTACATCTGATGAAAGCCCCTCCCAGGTGGATGTATGACACAGAAGACTCCTTGCAGGAACTTCAAACTCAAGAGTATCCTGGAGGGGAAATGGACCTATGGGACTGCCAAGTTCAATTTTCCCTGTCATCTTTCTGGCGTAAAACTGCCCTTGCACTGCCCTCTGCTCATCCCTGCACAGTCAGTCATCTGTCCACCTTGAGCCCCACTGGTCTCCACCTCACACCAGGCTTTCTACAACCCACAAAGAGGGATAAAGGCCCCAGCACTCAAGGCACCATCCACACACTGTGCTTCTGGCACACAGCACTCTTTCTGTCCTTCTCTGAGTTCAGTATCTTTCCTTTTTGGTGCATCTCACCAGCCTCTCTTTCTGTTCCATTTATGGCAATGGACCTGACAATTCTTCCTTTTGGTTTTATTTAAATCAAGTGTCAGCAGGATTAGTTCAATGCCTGAGAGAGAGATAGCATCCAAAGGTATTTTGTTTTCCTTCTGTACCTGCTTCTTTGGTTCTACGTTCAGAGTTGAGATAGCCTATTAACTGGTCTCTGAGTAAGAATGGCGTTAACAATTTTCTGTTACTCTATTAAACATATGTTGTATATAATCTGACACGTAGAGCAGCAAGACAATTTGGCAAAAGACACAGGGCAGGTAAGTGGCAGAGCTGGGATTTGACACCAAGTCTCTTCAACTCTTGACTCTGTCTATAAACACTTGCCTCCCTTGGAGTTGATTAGTTGGGTATAAATACAAATCTCCCAAACTTACAAATGATGTCTAAAAGGGCTACATCATTGAGACTTGCAGACTTCTTCTGAAAGAGAAGAGAAACTCATTAGAAGATGTGATGATGGGCTGGGGCATCTCCCTTTAAGGCTCATTTTAGGATTGGTTGGACAAACATTAGCATGCCCTCAGTACTGTACAGTGTCCACCAACCAACCACAGCATGGATAAATGAATTGTCTACAGGTCAAACCTCAACACTGAGCATCAACAGCCTATTATGGATACAGCAATATAGCTGATTCTCACAATCATAAGGTTGAATGAAAGCAGACAGACCCAAAAGAACAGAACACATGATTCCATTTATAAAAAATATATATAAGTAGGCAAAATAATAATCTATGCTGTTACAAGTCAGCGCTGTTGGTATCTTTAGGGGTTGGGATAAGAGTAACAGTAATATTGCTAGATAATGGGTACTGGTTTTATGAGTATGTTCAAATATAATTGTATCAATTTCTGTAAGAATTTTATATTTAAATAACAAAGTAGTAATGTGGGGAGGATAAGGTCTCCCTATATAGCCTAAGCTGGCCTTGAACTTGAGATCATCCTTTCTGATCCTCCCAAATGCTGAGATTATAGGCTTGTATTAGTACACTAGGCTTGTTATATCTTTTCATTTTCATAACTGAGTAGGTTACAAAAAAGTACCACTCATTTCTTCAATCACTACTGACTTTTCCCTTCCCTGATAGCACTTCTTTTGTAATTGCTTCCTAAACATTCTTTGCTAGGTAAAAAAGCCAATAAAAATGTGTTCATTCACTTTAAAAATAAACAAGTAGCTGTCTTCAGTCTGCTTTGGATTAAGGAAAGCAAAACCTGGAGGGTAGCGTGTTGCTAAAGCTTGTTACCTCACACAACAGGACCAAGTCCACAGCTAGCTGTTCTTTCCTCTGCCGGAAGTTTACAGTTTGAAGTTGTTCTTCAGGAAAAAAATCCCAGGCTTTTAGGATTGTCATCATTTCATACATGGGGATTTTCAAGATGGTCCTCCTGAGAAACTCAGCAACAGTCTCCTCCATCTCTCTGGCATGTTAGAAAAACAAAAACCAAGAGGACAACAAAGTATTCATCAAATACAAACATTTGGCAGAATTTTCCAGCATCATAGTTTTAGCCAAGGTGTGTTTTTTTCTTTTTCCCCTAGGATCAGGACTTGAATTCAAGTTCTGGTACTTTAGCTCAGATGTTGGTGTTTTACCACCTGAGCTATGCCTCCAGCCATAGGATTTTCTTTCTGTTTTTTTTTTTTTTTTGTTGGTTGTGGGGCCTGAACTCTGGGCCTGAGCGCTGTCCCTAAGCTCTTCAGCTCAAAGCTAGCGCTTTACCATTTGAGCCACAGCATCACTTCCGGCTTTTTCTGTTTACGTGGTGCTGAGGAATTGAACCCAGAGCCTCATGTATGCGAGGCAAGCGCTCTACCATTGAGCCACCTTCCCAGCCCTTTCTTTCTTGAGTCCAAGACCAGGACCAAACTCAGTGCCTGATGCTTTCGCTCATTGACTAGTGAGACATGCTTCCAACTTCAACTCTAGGATTTTCTTTGGAGTTTAAATACTCAAATGTTTATCCTTTTCACTTACTTTTTAAAAAATTATTTTTCTCTTTAAATTGTATATTTAAATGTGGTAGAGTATTAACAAAATTAGCGCTACAATGACTTGGGTAGGATTTGTCCTACAAGTATTGATATGTGTAGGTTTGGTCCCCAATGCAATGGCATTTAGAGGTGATGAATCTGTAAGGGATGGTTAGGACACCTAGTTCATGATCAGTTACTTGCCACTCCACCTTCAGAAGGGATTAATGCCCTTTTAAGAGTCAGAATTGGATTAGTTCCCTTGCAAATGGTTTATAACCAGGCATGGTGGTACTCACCTATCATCTCAGCACTGGGAGCTGAGACAAGAGGATCAGGAGTTCAGGCCTACCTAGCTTAGATTATATGGTGAGATCCTGTCTTCCAAATGTTTTGTATATATTACACACATATGTATGGGGACACATGTATGTACACACATATAGGTATGTGTAGAAATGTATACACACATATGTATATGTACACTCAGCTGCGTGATCCCTAAATATTGAGAAAGTTGCCTTTAACATCATTAATGGCCTATCTTTTAGAAAGAAGCACAAAGTTCCTGGTGTCCATGTTGCAGACAGACAGTCTGTCATTCTCATCTGCTTCCCTCATAACGCTGGGATTTCCAAGGAAATAGGGATATTCTTCTACAAGAATCTTAATGGGGACTTATATCTATCATCTCATGTGCTTGTTGAACACCAAATATAATTTACTGCCATTGTCTACTTCCAAAAAAAATGTAGTGGTTTGTCTTTTCTGAATATGATAGTAAAACTTAAAGAGGAATGTTTAAATATGGTTTGGGAAGAGAAAAATAACTATTAAGATCACAGGAACAGAATTAGGATCATGAAATAGTCTGATATGTTGCTTTATTGAGACATAAGATCATCTTGCCCTAAAGTCAAGATTAAAATCTTCACCATGGTCTTGTATTGTCTTGGTATTTGCTCCTTTCTCCTTGGTTTTCTGAGCTCCAGCTACACTGGGCTCTTTCATACTATACGACAAAATGATTCTTCTGGATATGGAACATTGCACCTGGTTACTCTGCCTAGAAGATTCGCCAGTGATTTCCTGTTGCAATTCAGGCCTCAGCTTAGTTTCTCCACAGAGAGATTTATTCTCACACATTCAATCCAAAGTTATCTTCAGCCAGGCACTGGTACCTCACGCCTGTAATCCTAGCTACTCAAGGGACTGAGATCGGAGGATGGAGGTCCAAAGTCAGCCTGGGCAGAAAAGTCTATGAGACTCTTATCTTCAATTAAGCACCAAAAAATCTGAAAGTGGAGCTGTGGCTCAAGTGGTAGCCTTGAGCACAACAGCTCAGGGACAGGGCCCAAGCCCTGAGTTCAAGCCCCATGACTCGTGTGTGTGTGCATGCACACCCGCGTGCACACATATACACAGACACACAGTTATTCTCAGGACCGTCTACTGATGACTACAGAGCTATCTGGAACTAGCTTTATTATTCACAGTATTTTGTTGCACTCCAATTAACAGGTACAGTAAGTCTAGTCAGCCCAAGAACCAGCTATGCACTAGATACTACTACGGAAATGAATAACTGGATGCTCTCCCTAAGAAGTGCACTTGTGGAAATAAACAGGAAAAGGATCAACAGTCAGGAAAATATGAAACACCTCTTCCCTTATGATCACTCCGGACTTTCAAAATAAAGTTTCTGGGCCCTGCGGGGAGGGCGCATTTAAGTTTCCCATTTTTGGAGGGCTCTTCTTCAGGCGATTCTTAATTCTGGGTAAAGCTTGACGCCAGCCAGTAAAAATTTTAAAAGAACTGGCAAAGGAGCACAAGTGATCTCACCAGTGCAGTCAGGAAACCTTTAAATACACTTTCTCTCTACTTCCTAGCACTTTGGCACAGAGCTTACGCTAGGTGCACGATGCGGTTTTTGAATGAATGCACAAGAACATTCCTTAGTAATATTCCTGCAGCTATACACTGCAGTGACGGGGAGCCTAAGGAGTAATGCAAGAGGCTGCTGAACAAATAGGATCCAAGGGAACTAAGGATCTACCTGAGACCCCGACTCTGGTAGTTGCGGGAAGCCCGGGGAAAGACTTGTGAGCCGCACGTCACGTGACAAGGCAGCGCACCTACAGCACATTTCGTAGCAGGCTCCAGAAGAGGCCCTGCCCCACTGAGGGCGGAAATGGCGTCACGCGGGGCTTGAGCGCCCTCTCCAGCTTGGCCTATTCTGCAGCCTTCCACTCCCAGCCCGAGACCTAGCGCCAACCCTGATATTTGAGACGTGCGGCCGTCGTATAAAAGCCGCCGCGGAGGCCTGGGACCTGACTTCCCCAAGGTTCCCACCACCTTCCGGACCCGAGGCCGAGCCGACAGCAGTCGTCTTACCAGCCCACATCTCCAGCTGCTCGCCGGCAGCCGCTCCCGCCGAGGCGCCTTCAAAACCTCCAATGGCAGCTCCCGCCCGCCTCAAGCTCTGCCCACCGGGCTCGGACCTCGGGCAGCTCCACGGCTCCAGGGGGGACCCTGCTGAGGAGCGGCAGGAGTGAGTCCTTCCAGGTCCTTGCGTCACTCTTCTCAGGAGAGGACGTTTGTATGTAAGTAACATCAGTGGAGAAACAGGCTCTGTCGGTTCGAGTGGTTGTGTAGGTTCTGTCGCGCCCGTTTGCCAGGCCCTGCTTCCCCCCTTCGCGCTGGAGAATGGGCCGGTCCGGGCGGGCTGGCGCATGCGCCGTCCGACGCTGCCGGCGGCGGGGCGGGCCCAGCGGGGTCGCGGCCGAGGGGGAGCAGGTCCTGCGGGTCTGAGGGCGGCCGGGCGCTCGCAGTGTCGGCGGGCGGTTCCCACGGCCCTTTGGTGTGGCCGGACCTCGGTGAGTTTCGGTAGTCCGGTTGGTGGTGAGGAGCGGCCTCGGGCTGCGGGGAGGCCGCGGGCACCCCGGTGGCTCCGCGGCCTCTTCCCTGGGCGTTTGCTGGCGCCGACTCGTCTGTGGGCCACCGCGGGCTTCGGAGTCACCGGCGGGGCCTCGCCGTGGCCGCGCGACCCGGGAGGCTTGCTCGGCCCGCCGGAGCCTCGCTGGTTGCCCCCCGTGAAGTGGGTGGAACTCGCCTCGCCCCGCCCGGCGTCGCCAGGATGCGTGGAGGCCGGCCGCGGGCCGTGCGTCGGGGGAAGTACCGCTCCCGCCTTCCGCGGGCTGGGGGAGGCCGCGCCTGCCCCCCCACCGGCGAGTGGGCAGCGTCCCCGGATCGACGGCCTCACTTCGGACGGGCCTCTCGGTGGTGGCGGCGTGGCTCCCGCGGGGACCCGGGGCGCAGACCCCCAGCACTGCGCCGAACCAACCCCTCAACCACAAAGCAGGAGCTCTTTTCCAGACTCGGGGTCAGTCGCTGGGCGTCAGCAAACGCTCCCTGGGCATTTGCTGTGCGGTGCACTGGGACATCCCCTCACTCGTCTGTGTGTTCTTCCACTCGTACAGACCAGGGTTTTCCCCCTGAACTTCGCCTGACTTGGCAGAGTGCTCAGCACCATCTAGGTACAGCTCTTAGTGATTGCTGATCCCTTGAGAAGCCGATCTGGTCGAAGTGAGAGTAGTTTGAGAGGCGAGCTGGGGACTGGAATTGCTCTTTGTAGCCATGTAACACCGTCTACCCCAGGTCTTGACAACTTCCAGTGTGGGTAGGGTGGGTTAGTGCTTGCGTCTGCTCCAATGTAGTCTGAAGATTGTGAAAAGCACTAACTCAATATCAGGGCTTTCTCAAATGGAGGTTTTCAAAAGATATATTTAAGAAAACACCGAGTGTTTATTTATAGGTATTTTTCTACAGAATGGAATTGCTCCAGACGGTGAATTGTAGCCTTGGCTTGGTTTTTGTCTTATTTTAAAGTTAGGAATGAAAATTGTAGTCTAAATTTCTTTCCGTTGTAACCATTCAGGAGCAAAATCTTTGTAAATGAAAACCAAGTGGCATTAAAATGCAGGGTTGGCCATTCTGATTAGAGATCTGCCAGAGCGTGTCATTAGAAGCTTACTCCCTTTTCTTTGGGCTAGAGTTCTCATTATGTGTTTTCTAAAATCGTGCCGCCTGGTGGTTGATACCTGCTGTCAAAGAATACCCATTAGGAAAATGTCACCTGAATTTTGGCAGATGGGAGAATAAATAAAAGTATGACTCCAGCTTTCCATCCTCCCAGTCTACCTCCAAGGAAAAAGTAAAATTGTTAGGAGTCTGTATTAGCCAATTTTTCACAATTGAACATTTAAAAAGTGTATTAGACTGTTTCAGTATTTGTGTGCATACAGTGTTTGAGAAAGTGGGCGGGGGGCGGCTTGGAGAGAGTGGTATAATTGTGCCAGAACACCTTTCTGATGACTTACAGACAGCAGGGTGAAAGGGGGACTAATGGTTTGTGTGTAACCACATACGCTACTTCAGTTTGTTAAAAGCACTTGGAGTTCTAATAATGTTGTTAGACTAGGCTGTTAAAGATGACTACCTGTGGGGTTGAAGTTTGTGTTTAATACAGTTTGGATGGAATGTAAACAAAACTCTTTGACTGCAAACACTCATGCATGAGGTCTTACCGCCGATATTCCCTCACTCTTGTTTCAACAGTGCTTTTGAGTTCAGAATTACCTTGGCACTGTTCCCTTCAGAATTGTTCTGTCTTTGTCCGTACAATGCTGGGGATTATAATGTAGGACCTCGAAAATGCTAAGTACAAGTTCTACCACTGAGCTACACCTTCAGTCAACCTATTTCTTTTGTCCTCAAACTGACATCTTCAAATTCATCATTTGTTTTACTCACAGACTATTTATTTTTTGATCTCCCCTGCCGTGGACTTTTCTAAATTGGTAAACATTCCCAGTTGTCTTCTATTTAAATATAATGTCTGACCCATGCTGCTCTTTGAGCTCTGTCCCCAGACTGTTCAGATTGTTAATGTTCTGGGTGACCTGATTGGTGACAGCTACCATACCCTATTTGATCTCAACAGAACCTCTGCCTTTAACAGTAAGTATCGCATCACTTTGACTCCTTTGGAACTCAGGCCTGGGATTAGTGCCTACTGAACTTGTAGCCAGGCAGAGGTTCTTTGAGATGTAAGAGTTTTGTTCATCGACTGCTGTGCAGACATGACTTTCCTATTGTGAATATGAAGGAAAAAAAAATGTTCAGGTAAGTTATCTACTCTGTGGTCTGGGGCTTAGTTTTTCTATGAAAATGTGGGTAATGTACATTTTGACTTACAAAAAGGTGATTTTTAAAATAATCTAGAACTATATTTTTTTCTTCAGTTCATAAAAAATAACTTGAATTGTAAAAATATTCTTAGAATAGGAAGGTGACTACTAGAGTATCAGCACTTAAGTGTGTGTTGAGAGATCACTGTCAGTATTTTACACTCATGCTTTGTATCTTACACTCTAGAGGGCAGTAGTACATCTTTGTTTGTGCCAGCTTTTAGGCAAAGGCAGGTGACACAGGGTGGGTGGAAGGAAGCAAAAGTGAGGGTGAGTAGGGAATATTTAGCTAAAAAGGTAAGGTGGAGGAAAGAGGTAATTGGTAAAGCAAGGGACGTTACATAAGGTGAGAGTTTGAAACTTCTGTTAAGCAGTAGCTTCTTACCAAAAAGAATGGGAGAAGAAAACAAACCCTTTTTGTCTTTGAATTAGTCATATAGGATTAAAAAAAATTAGGAGAACCCCATACATAGGTACCCTTATTATCTTTCAACCGAAAATAATTTTTTTTTTTTGGTCGGTCATGGGACTTGAACTCTGGGCCTGGGCGCTGTCCCTCAGCTCTTCAGCTCAAGGCGAGCGCTCTACCGCTTGAGCCACAGCGCCACTTCTGGTTTTCTGTTAGTTTATTGGAGATAGGAGTCTCACGGTCTCTCCTGCCCGGGTTGGCTTTGAACCACGATCCTCAGATCTCAGCCTCCTGAGTAGCTAGGATTACAGGCGTGAGCTACCAGTGCCTGGCTCGAAAATAAAAATTTTAAAAGAGAAGGAAGGTTTTATTAGTATCCCTGCTGCATCTACAGCAGCATATATATTTAAATTAAACTTTCATTATTGGAGGGAGAAAGTACTATATGCAATGTACATGTATTCATTATCTTAGCTAAGTATCTTCTCAAGTGTAGATCTTTCCCTCCCTCCCTCCCTCCCTCCCT